AAGCAGAGTAGGCATGGGTGCACCCCAGGGAGCCAGGACACCAGGGACACCCACTGCCACAAGTACAGCCGCCCTGCCTGGATGCCTGGGCTTCCAGGGAGCCAAGGAGCCAGCACCACCACCAGGGGCACCCAGCACCACCCCATGGCCCAGAGCACAGCATCCAGATGCCTTGGTTGCCAGGGAGCAGCAGGGTTCCAAGGTGGACCCCAGGAGCTGCTGACAAGGCCTGTGTTGCCAGAGCAACTGTGGCCACCAATAAACCAACCACAACAACACCTATAAAAAGAGACAAGTGAGCAGGAGCACCACAAACAGAGCAGGAAACAAATAGAATCCCAGAATGGTTTGGGTTGGAAAGGACCTTAAATATCATTGTAGTTCCAACCCCCCGCATGGGCAGGGACACCTCCTGCTAGACCACGTTGCTCCAAGACCCTATCTGAAACAGAGCATTAACCAAACTGGCTTCAAATAGTTAACTGCTTGTAGGGTATAAATCTCTCATCTGGGCCTACTGCTAGTGAGTTGTAGAAGCCTTTTGTGTGAGCTTATCTGTAGTTTAAGGGAAGAAGTAAAAGGATCCTTGAAGTAGAAAGAAGCCATTCAGCTGTGACTAGGGATGCTGCTGGAACCAGTTCTACTGTGGGGTCAGCAGAGATAAACAGGAGAAGAGACAGAACTTGGCCAAAGGTTCCTGTGAGGAAGACTCAAGGATGAAGTAAATGACCCCCAGGAGACTCTAAACGACTTAACATGCATGTGATAATGGGTGGACATTTATGTAAATGATTTCTCTGGAAACTATTGAATATGTAAACTGTTTCTTAGAAATATTACATGTAATTAAGTATCAGCTGTATATGTATCTCTCACCTAACCCTGTCAGGTGCACATTTGGGAGGAGCCATCCCCTGTGCGTCCGGCCCATGAATAAAGATACTGACTGAACAGCACTTAAGAGTGTTGGGTGAACTCGCTTTGTTTCACATCCAACCTGGTGTTGAAAGGAAGGAGCTTAGCTATGGTGTCCACCTGGCAGAAAGCTCTGTCCTCTGCACTTGCCAGAGGGGATGTAGAAACCCAGAGAGAACTCCCAAGAAAACATGCAGCCGTCCAACCTCAGAGTGCAGGGAAGGCCACAGTCTGTCCGTGGTGAGGCTGGTGGTTGCCTGCTGCCAGCCCTGGTAGGCACAGAAAGGACCTGGGAGGCCCCTGAACACCATGAAAAGGAGAGGAGTTCAGCGCAGTGTCCAAATGAAATGGTAACTACCTTGAAAGGGACTCAAAGAATGACGTTTTGTGACCTTGCTGATTTCTTTTAGTGCTGTACACAACGTTAGCAATCCCTTTTCCAGAACAGAATATCGTTTTTTGGAATCCTTCAATGCCTGAGAGTAAAAGCCAATTGGTCGAGTACTCCCAGTATTATTGGATCCTCTGGGTAAAGGGTCCCCAGAGTTTGGTATGTCTGTGCCTCCGAGAATATTAGTTCGAGGGCCTCATCATGAGACTGAACCCATTCCCAGGAGCCACCCTGGGTCATGCGCATGTTTCTCAGAGGGAAACATTGTTCTTCTGATGTCCCCAGGAGGAACTTGCAGCTGTTGCCCCTCGTCTCTTCCAGGAGGAGACTGCTTGTAAAAAGGCAGTCTCCATCTTCTCAGGGGGCACCCTGTGAGCACTGGCACATGGCAACGAGCTCTGCCCGGAGCCTTCTCTCCTGCAGGCTGAACAGAGCCAGCTCTCCCAGCCTTTCCTCCCAGCCCAGGCTCCCCAGGTGTGGCTGCAGCGCCGCGGGATGTTCCCGATTCCCAGGCAGGGCAGCACTAAGCTCAGTGTTTGCCCAGGCGCCAGTGGCCGTTGGGGGCGGTTCAGGCGCCGCCCCAATT